ACATTTCTAATAATAATAATAATAATAATAGAGAATTTAAATAAATAAATAAAAATTATGCTTGCAGAGGAGTAGGGTGTAGAAGTGGCGTCGCTTGGTCGAGCATCACCTTATACCCTTGTCAACCCCCCCCCCCCCTTTTTTTTTTCTTCTCTGTCAATTTTGCAATTGGTGTAATTCCCCTTCCCCCAATAAAAGCTTTAAAGTGTTCTGAGTTAGTTCTACTAGGTTGTTAATACAGCTGGGTGTTGCATTGTTTTCTCTATAGGGTTCATCCATAAATGACGTCACGCTTTTTACCTCCCCCCTCCCCTCAGTCACACAAAGCCAGACCCCCCCCCCCTAAAATGACGTCACATCTCAACCTACAACCCCCCTCAAAATTGCAGTTGCATTTTTTTAAAACATCGATATTTTTCCAAAATCTTGTCTAAACTATTACAATTTATTAAAACAGTTTTTTTAAAACGCGAAATAACGTCTAAAATTAGTTTTCTAACATTGCTTTTTTATAATGCAAAAATGTGACGTAGCAACATCTGACCCCCCCCCCCCCCCACCTCGTCACAAAATTACGGACCCCCCTCCCCCCTACGAGTGTGACGTCATTTATGGATGACCCCATAGTTTGAATGTTTACGTCATAGTGTCCACCCTACTACCTTGTTGTCATTAAGTAGGCCTAATTAAAATATTTTAACTCTAATTAAACATTCATTGAACTGGCAAAAGACATTTATTCCATATATATTTTGCATTTAAAAAATCTGTGATGGTGTGTTGGCTGTTGTTAAAATCTTCGATGGTATGTTGGCTGTTCTGTTAAAATCTACGATGGTACGTTGGCTGTTCTGTTAAAATCTACGATGGTATGTTGGCTGTTCTAAAATCTTCGATGGTATGTTGGCTGTTCTGTTAAAATTTACGATGGTATGTTGGCTGTTCTGTTAAAATCTACGATGGTATGTTGGCTGTTCTGTTAAAATCTGTCAACACTAGTCAACACACCATCGCAGATTTTAACAGAACAGCCTAGGTCAAAGTTTGCATGTAATTTCTAAGTGATTATCCATGCCAATTTTTTTATGAAGCACATACGAGGATGTATTTTGTGCATGTTCATTGATTTGATTGTTGGATGGACGGGTGGAGGGTGGTGACACAAGATAAACATTTAAAATACGTTTGTGCAAGTTGGCGCATTAATATACCTAGTAACTACTCGCTATAGCAATACTTTTTAACTATTATTCCTATTAAAAAGGTATTGGGCAGGTAGAAGTAATTTAGTCACATCGTGCAATCCCATCTGGCAAGAGTGGCCTAGGTATGGGATTCAAACAAAAGACCTATATGATTCAGCCTTTCAACAAGAGGTACCTTAATAAGATTTACATGCTGTTTACAGTTTTTGAAAAAATCAAATCTACTGAAAGATATGCATCAAAACAGTTGAATTTTTAAAATTTTGGATTTTGGTACAATCACATTTAAAATGCATCAATGGTTACCACAGGCACTTACAGCTTTTATTTACATTTTCTAATAAAAAATAAAACAAATTAATTTGTCACTATTTATTTAATTATTACAATAAGTTTTAAAATAATTAAATGTTACATCTCTTAAATAAATGTATAATTTTTATCAAATGTACAATTTTTATCAAATGTACAATTTCTATCACACAAATAGATCTACTTATTCTCCAAACAATAATGGAATATAAAATAGATCTACATACTATTTATCTTTTCTTAACGCTAGATATCATGCACTTAACAACAAATATCATTTATTTATTTTTGGGCCAATATGTAATAATACATTATAAAAATATACAACTTTTGTAAGTTTATTTTCCTACAGGTTTATCAAGCCTACTTTAGTCGTTTTTCTACAGCAGTACAAATATTAAAGCTTGTTTGATGTTGCTGGACATGGACCTTCCCATTTTTCACCTGGTCAAAAAAAAGGAAATTATTTTTTTCTGTAATGACAAATAAGTATTGGAAAAAAAAACAGAGTAGGGCGTTACTTTAACATTTCATGAAGCAAATGTGTATTAATGTTAAAGAAATAAACAGAGAGTTTATCACTGTAAAGTGAAAACAGTGATTTCTAACATGTAAAGTAACTGCATGCATTACCTAATAAATCAGCAAGTATAGGGAATCTGTCACTTCCAAACACCCATTCTTTTTGGCCATTTACTTCTGTGGTAATAACTGGAGCACCAAATGCCTGTAGAGAATCAAACTGATGTTAGCAAAAGATTGCACATACACAAGTAATAATGAGACATTTTTTTTTGTCATAGGCTGAGTTTAATAAAGTGGGGCCCTACATTTAAAAAGTAATATAAATAAGTCTAGATTGTACACAATGCAGACATATGACATGTTGATATAGACTTTGGATTAACCTAATTTACTTAAGCTAATTAATTTAAGAATATTGAGAGTGTGCAACTGAGAAATAGTGGGTAAAATACTTCTATTATACTTATACATTAAGAAGTTGAACTTGCCCCTAAATCTAAAGCTTCCTGTGTGGTCTGTTTTAATCTTTGTTTAACTTTTTCATCCGTAGCAAGTTTTAAAACTGCTGCAATGTTCTCTTCTGTCATTCCTGCTTTTTTTTGCTGTCTTGATGGGAAATAAAAGATTCAAATATTCAAGTGGCCATTTGGAAGGAAAAGATTTTCATTTCACAGAAGCAGACTATATTTTCAGAATGTTAAAAACTTAATTTATAATTTTACTTTCAGGTTTAATTCCACCGTTTAGAAAACAAGGTTAAATAATGTTGAACAAAATATAAAAAATGGACCTTATTTTATACTTGTATGTTTTGAAGTGTAAAGATATTCACTTACCAATGCTAAATTACTGGGTTCTGTTACATCTTCATCCTATTGTTTCAAAGATATATTAAAACAAATACATTTAAGTTGATGCAAGTCTTTGAAAAAAGACACATTTATTATCAACATGTAGCCAACTTTTTATTTAATAAGAAAGTAGGTCTATATACATTTCTCTTTATATTTGAGGACCAGGCTAGATGTAGTGAAATGTGAAATGAAGTTAACCTCTTATAATGAAATATCTTTAAAAAAATTTATCTTGTAATAATGCACTCAAAATATAACTGAACAATACCCACGATGCACTAAAAACATAACTGTACAATACCCTATTCCAGTTCCTCATCCACAGCTCTCTAGAGATTTTCTCAAGCATTTCAGGATGGGTCATGTCAATAGCTGTAAGAAATCTTTGTGTTGGGAGGGTTCCTTTGGCTAGCATCTTCTCATGGACCTTATTTTATCACCATCATCAGATTAGTTAGTCCAAATGCTCAGAAAGAAATAAAATTTCATAAAGCTGAGAATTTTATTAAATTTACTCAAAATAATTTTTTTTATCCGCTTAAGTGACAAATAATGATTTAAAAAACCACAAAATTGTAAGTATGTTTTTTTACAGAAGGATTTATTTTTATTCAGCAAATGTGGGCAGTGGATTTGGCTGTTTTAGATTCATCTTAGCGTTTGATTGTATTTGTAAAACTATTAATGTAGCTCTGCTGATGAAAACCAATTTTGTTCAAATAATTATGAGCCCATCACACCTGATTAGCCCAAATTGAGTTGTCAACATTACAAACATATACTGTGCTAACATTTTGTGAAATGATAACTATTTAATGAAAAGATGATGACCTTAGGGAGCTTTAAAGGCACGTCAAAATACTTTCCAAGCTGCTGAATATCCTTGTACATGTAAACACCCTTGTTCAATACAGCAAATGGTGGTTTGTTTCCTTAAATGTAGCAGTAGAAAAACATGCTAGTGTAAAAATCTTCTTTTTTATTAGATTCTTTGTTTCACAGTCAATTTACAAAAACACTTAGTGTATTAAAATTAAAATACTGCTTTTAAATTAGAAAATAGAAAAAAAACTTTTATGTTTCGGGTGGTTTGTAGACCATTGTGACAAGTTTGATAGAATTTTAATTAATATTAACAGAATAAAAGAAAGTTTTTTTTAACGTTATAATGCTTAACCCATGCTTTTTTACTACGATTTGATTTATTTTAACGAAAGCTATCACTCAATGATATGTAACTGATAACAAAAGAAAGATCTCAGTGCTTGTAAAGTAATGATACCTGATTCCTTCATGACACCACCTAGGAAGAAAGGGCGTAGTTTAACTGCCATGTTCCATCGATTCTGGTACCTGAACAGCACCTAAAATATAAGTCATGAATTTAGTTGATTTGATAATGACTGAATAGACTGGTAGCTGAGAAAGGCTACACAGTGAACGATGGGTAGCTGAGAGTGGTGACACAATGTCGATGTTGGGTTGCTAAAAGTGGTGACACAAGGTTGATGTTGGGTAGCTGAGAGTGGTGACACAATGTTGATGTTGGGTAGCTGAGAGTGGTGACACAATGTTGATGTTGGGTAGCTGAGAGTGGTGACACAATGTTGATGTTGGGTAGCTAAAAGTGGTGACACAATGTTGATGTTGGGTAGCTGGGGGTGACACAATGTTGATGTTGGGTTGCAGAGAGTGGTGACACAATGTTAGTGTTGAGTAGCTGAAAGTGGTGACACAATGTTAATGTTGGGTAGCTGAGAGTGGTGACACAATGTTAGTGTTGAGTAGCAGAAAGTGGTGACACAATGTTAATGTTGGGTAGCTGAGTGGTGACACAATGTTACTGATGAGTAGCCGATAATGGTGACACGATGTCAATGTTGGGTAGCTGAGAGTGGTGACTAACAGTCGATTCCTAATTTATATTGCATCTGTTGAGTTGTTAGGATGTAACAAGTACTAAAGCATGGAGTAGTTTGATGTTGATATTTCAATAAAAAGTAAATTATTTAATCTAAATTGTGAACAGCTTGAACTTGCATTTAAAAAATAGTTACCTCAAAAGCAAACCATGAGTAAGGGGAGATAACATCATAAAAGAATTCCACTTTCTTCTTTGACATTTTCCCCTTTAATTGGTCATATCTTTGAAAAATGCTGCATTAAATAAAAATGTAGATGTTTAAAAATTATTTTAAAAGATAGAATATTTTTAAAAAGAAATAGACATTTATACCATTATTATGAAGCATTATTATTATTTATATACTATTAATAAGAATGGTAGCGCTGTCGACCACAAACATTAAAGTCTTGAGTTCGGATCTTGGGCTCGAGTCTGTAAGACATTCCAGAGTCCACCCAGTTTTGAAGCATACCTCAAGTTAGGGAAAATACTGCAGCTGGGAATAGTGCTGACCACACTGACCAACTTCATATGCAGAGGTCACTGAAACAGTTGAACTCTACTTCACTAGCCCCAAGGACCATAAGGTTCAAAGGGTACTTTACTTACTTTACTATTATTACACATGTAGACCTATTAAATAATTAATATATGCCTATATGAGTAAAGTATCAAATTTAAAAAATTAAGACGATAAATAAAATTATGTATGGTGTCTAAATTATTGAACTTTTATAAGACTTACAATGTAGGCCCACATTTTATAAAATAAAATTAGGTTAATTAGGCTTAGGTTATTAAAATAACTGAAATTTAAAAAAAAATTCAATTGTAAAATACTAGACTAAAGCCATTTTAAAGGCACCAGCTACTGGCATTAAAGTATGAACCCAAATGGCTAAGCTTAGAACAATTTGTTTTGTAAGAATATTTTAAAGTATTTAACTTAAGAAGGCATACATTTCTTACAAGACTAACTGAAGTTTTAAAATAAATAATCCTAATTTAATTTCTTGTCAAATTTATTATTATTTTAAAACTTTAGGCCTAATAATTTCTAGAGTCTACACATCATATACATAACTTCCATAAATTAATTATTAATTAATATATGCATGCTATTTAATACTTAGGGCCTATAGTTTTGGTTAATTTTGATAAGCCTTAAATGCCTTATGTTGATATTATTAGATCTATCTAGATCTATATTCTATAGTTTAGTCTATAAGCTATATAATATATAGGCTACATTATATACTAATGACTAATACTCTAGCTTTTATTACCTAGGCTACAACAATAAAAGTAAAAGGCAGTAGCCTAAATAATTTACTGAGTAAAAACAAAATTGATTTCAAAAGCTGAAATCAAACTTTAGGCGACCGATCTTTAAAATTTAAATGAATGACAGTTTGATAATCATTCATATTCATAATGAATAATGTTAGGCCTATTTTATTTTACACTAGAATTTAGAATGTGACTAGAATCTTGATTTACTGATATATTATAAGTTATTTTACATTTTGACTCAGGTTTTAGTTTTAGATATCTACTGCTACTAGACTATATTTATATTTAATATAGATCTTCTATAGGATAGGCCCTCCTAGTCATAAGATCTAGATCTAGATCTATTTTAATTCAATTTTTTTAACGAGTTACAAGGTCTTAGTAACAAAATAATCTGAGCATTGTCGCCCTTGGACTGTTTGGGGGAAAAGATAATCGATAAACTAACTTTAAAAACTCGATAAACAGATTGTATAGTTTAGTCCTAACAACAGTAGTGTTTGTGCAGACAGGTAAGTTTGCAGAAGTTTAGCTGTGCATTATGTTTGCCCTGATTTATGTTATTTAGAGTGAGAGTGTGTTAAATATGAAAGGAAACATGGTAATCTATCGTTTTAGCGTAATCAATTCGGCTGCAATAGTAATGTGCGGGAGAGGTAGCTGATGAATATATTTGTTTAAATAAGTTTATTTAAGTCAAATTTTACAAAATATCACAGATAATTGATTTAAAATAACAAACAGTGACCAAAACAATTTAAATAACATGAAACTAACTTTAAACTAGGTGTTTGAGATAAATATTAGTAGAAAAAAAACAGCGGCCATCTTTCCAAATAAAATTTAGAGTAGTTTCCCTGGATAAAAATGTCTATTCGTATGTATATTGTGTTGACTTTGTTGTTTAATATACATACCTGTCTTGTTTAATATAAGTAAGACAGAGGGCCGTCTTCTTATCTTTAATTTCATTTTCAAGTGAAATGAAGGCTATGTATGTATGTATATCCAAGATCTCAAAAAAATTTGGGAGGTCCAACATTTACTAAACCCTTTTGTACTGATTAGGGGTCGTCCATAAATCATTTATTAAATGACGTCACAATCGGAGGGGGGGGGGGGGTCGGTAATTTTGTGACGATGTGTGATGACGGGGAGGGGGGGGGGGGGTTCAGATGGTGCTACGTCACACTTTTGCTTTATAGATAAGAAATGTTAGAAAACGAATTTTAGACATTATTTAGCTTTTTAAAAAACAGTTTTAATAAATTATAATAGGAATTGATTAAAATACTATATTATTGACATATTTCAGACAAGATTTTGGAAAAATATCGATGTTTTAAAAAAAAATCAACTGCAATTTTGAGGGGGGTGGGGGGGGGGGGGTTGTAGGCTGATGTGTGACGTCATTTTAGGGGGGGGGGTCTGACTTTTTGTGACGACGTGTGACGGAGGGTAGGGGGGGAGGTAAAAATCGTATTAAAAAAGCGTGACGTCATTTATGGATGACCCCTTAACTTGTCAATTATTAGGTCGTCCATATTCCTCATAAATGACGTTGGACTCAAAATATGGGACGGTGTAAAAATTTTTTTTCAAAAATGATGAAGAATATATTCGTTTTCGTTAGAAATTGTGATTAAGGGTTCGGGTATAGTAGAACTGCAATATGATATTAAATCATCATCTTGCTTTTAGTAACTATTGGGTGAGAGGGAAATTGTCGGGAAAAGTATGACGTCATTTATGGGCGATCCATTTAATTAAGCCTAGTTGTTTATTTTGTCTGTAGACATTAGTCTTAGGCCTACACTTTTTCTGAATTAAGAAGACGGATGTATTATTTGATATTGTGAAAATGATCTATAAGTGTGTGTTAATTAAGTTCATGTTATTTCATAAACTAAGTTGTTGACATTGTTAATTAGTGTCTGCGGAACATAAGAGTGATTCCCGTCCTCCTCACGAGTATAATAGTTGCGGTATGAATAATAGTAGATCAGAATATATTGAGATTATATATAAATCGCCCATCACAATATAGTGATATCCCACTCTAGAAAAAAAAAAACTAGATCAACGTATAGTTCGTAGGAAGGAAAATTAGAATCTATCACTTATTCGTCTGTTAAAAAAAAAAGAAATACGTCATTTTTCTCAAACACGCCGTTTCATCCCCCACTAAGCACAACGTCACAAAGTTCGCGGCGCGCGTGACGTCATTTGTCATTAGGCTAATGTTTAAGAAAGATACCGCGTAATTAAAAGAAAATCAAAACAGGCCCTAAATCACTATGGCGATGAGACTTTAACGACGTTTAGCCTGACGAATAGATCTAAATAACTTTAGTTCGGTGAATTATATTGGTGTTTAATTTATTACAGTGGCATGATGTTCTCCCTCTACTATACAAATTCACGTGCTTTTAGTTTCTGCAACCTGCTGCCCTGAGACGTTCGGCTCTAAAATGCCCGTGACACAGCGGCTTCGGTAAATGCATTTAGGCTCCCGGTCCTACCTACAAACGTCTGTCCATTAAGCTCCACGCAAAACGTGTGATTAATATGTGGACATAAGCGGCGCTAGTGGTGGTGTCAACAGAAGCCAAGCTCAGGTCTTAAAGGTGCTCCGCACTTCATAAAAGACAAAATTGATGTTCAGATATCGTCGGACTCTGGCGTTTTGCCGACGGCCGTACTCCTAATGCACAGTCTTAGAGGCTGTCCACTGCTAACACTATTTTATGTTAAATTCAAGCCTATACTGAGCTGTGGCTTTACATTAGCTCAGTGGCGTAGCAAGGTCGAGTGTCACCCGGTGCGGCACTTAATGGTGTCACCCCCCAGAGGCGACAAACTTTCAATTTTCGATTTGTCCCATTTTACCTGCTAGTCAATACTTGTCGAATATTGTTGACAGGAGCTACTTGGCTTGAGCCTTGTTGTCAGAAGTTATTTCATTTGGAGTCAATATAGTGCGGCCTATTTTCGTCGGTAGGCATTTAGTGGCAGGCCCTTTTTGGGGGGGATGATGTGCTGAGCTTGTTTAACACCGCTTAGTACAACAGGCATGCAATAGTTATGAACAAATGTATGCATGAAAACGAACGCTTTATGTTCCTCATTTTCACTGAGCACAGCTTTATAGAAGATTCCAAAATAGACGTCACGCATCCCCCCCCCCCGACCACCCTGCGTAAGTTGACGTCACATTAGCATTGCATATGTGACATCGTTTATGGGCAACCCCATATAACTCATTTTGGGTATTTGGTATCAACATTTTGACAACAAAGGTTATTCAAAATGTATATAGGACTTGACATCTACCCTAAATGACATCGCACACTTAAGGGGTGGAGTAACTGGTTTTGAGACGACGTTTTACGCGGGAAGTGTGAGGGGTAAGAAACGTGAAACGTTATGTATTTCGCCTAATACAAAAATGCTAAAAATATTTTTCATTAGAATTATGGCTTGACTTTTTAATAGACAGGGCAAAAAGGTAAATTTCGACATTACGACTATTTCGTGACGGCAAAAATGGGGGTGGGGGGGGGGGGGGGGGGGTTAAGGTGAAGAGAGGTCAAAAACGGGACGTCATTTGTGATTAAATCACTAATTAAAGGAAAAAAGCATGAAAATATTAAATCAAAATAGGAAACAAACAATAACACAAACAACAAGAATGAACTCAAACTAATATTTAAATAAACATTAGATATGTAGTGGTAGCTCTATAAAAATAGGGAGTATCTTAATGTATAAAAATTGCATCTCATAATAATAATTATAGAACTGATGTTTATTGTCAGTCAATTAAATTGTTTAAAGGGCAGAATTAAAAAAAAACGCATGCTTTGTATTTAAACACAAGACTAACCTATTTAACAGCAAACATCAATACATTTCCATACAAATAGAAATTAAAGGGAAATGACTCAAAATAATATTTTCTTAAGATGGCCGCTGTTTTTAATAGCAAATTTAGTATCTGTAACATCGTTGTTAAACTTTAATTTCCTGACATTTTTATTGATTTAACCCTTAAATGTGGTTTAATATTCAATTATCTTTAGTATTTTAGTAAAATATGCAAAAATATATCCATATTTAAGCCATATTTATTAGTTACCTTATCCCTACATTACTAGTGACGGCCGAATTGATTACGCTAAAGCGATAGATTACCAGGAAACATTTCGATTTTAATTAACGTACTTTAAAACTTGAAAAACAAAACTTCTGTCAACTAGCCAAGTTTTACGGCTCGTATTTCTTTTCGTAGTAAAATCTCTAAGTCTAGAATCTTGATGTATTCTTTACTACTTTACTTACTTTACTACTAATTAAAAGTTACTCAGTAGTGTTAGTAGTTAGTAGGAGTGTGCATGCACTCAAGTAGCCAAGTTATCGGAGTCTGTGTTTAAGTTCAGTGTAGGAGCAAACTGTGTAGTGAGTAGTGTAAGTGTAGTGTAGTGTAGGTGCATAATAATTACATAATTAGGCCTAAATATTAATAATATTAATATTAGTAGGCCTACTACTAGATCTACTAGTAGTACTAGATCTAGAATATAGATTTAACTTTAAATTAAATTTAGAACTAGATCTAAATAGTTACACCAAAGTTGTAAATGAGGCCTAGAATCTAGTATGGAATTTAATTCAAGGAAAAGCTATTTAAAAGTATTTTTGCAAGATTATACTATATATATATATATATATATATATATATATATATATATATATATATATATATATATATATATATATATATATATATATATCCTATATATATATATATATATATATATATATATATATATATACTATATACTATATAGGGTATAGGCCTACTTAACTGTGTTAAGATCTAGCAGTGCAACACTTCTTAGTCTTAGACCTACAATGTTTTTGTCAATGTTGAGGTGCCAAATGAAGATTTTATACAAAGCAGTGCTTAGCTTAATCTATCTGTACAATTATTTACTAATAGGGTCTACTACAAAATTTTAAATGTAGCTTAGGCTAACATATTCCATAAATTATTTTAGACAGGTGGATGAAAGTGTATCCAGAGATATTAATAAAATTAATTAATTGTTAAACCCATTTTATTAATACAATCTTAGCCCCAAATAACAAATAATATAATTAATTAATCCATATGTAGATCTAGGCCTAAACATAAAATATTATTTACTAATTAAATATAAGACATTCTATAATCATAACTTTAAGCTTAAAATAAAGCATTAATTATTTGGCTTTATTGATAACCACCAATATTGTTTTTCATAAACATTTGATATATAATATACATTAAGATGTATAG